AGCCCTTTAGTTGACTTCAGGCTTCATAGAGGGGAGGAAATTTAAAAGAGAGAGGAGAGAAGGGTGATTCACAGATGCAAAATTGACAGACACAGCGGTGGAGAAAAGGGTAAGATGAGTACTTGGGAAGTTGTGGAATATGTCATAGAGTTGGGTCAGAGTAGTTTGAAGTCAGAAGTCAACTGCCGATTTATAAATCATTTTGTCGTATGTGTATACGTTGCCTTTTCGATTAAGACATTTTCGAAGTTCAACTGATCAAATACTTCGGAAAATGCTGTGACTGAGGCTATACTTAGGTTTGAAGGATGTTTAAAGTTGAAATCCCGCGCCAGCTTAAACGTGTTAAACAAATTAATAAATAGATGGAACGGTATAGTTGTTGCCTAGTTACGTTGAGAAATATCATTTAATTGGATTTTGCGATCAAAAGTGTACCTTAACACTTTGTTATATATATCTGATAATTTTTTTTCTTAAAACGTGATTTTAGTGTAAAATTGTAAACCTAATACCATAAGAGTTAGAACTCAACAACTTTAGCAGGACTTAACTTTTTAATCTTCTTGAAATTTTTCATATTTGGACTCGAGAACATTTTGTTTTAATGAATCCTTGTGAAAAATTACCTGCAATTAATTGCAATGGTTTGTATATTGTGCGAATTCTTATTGGTTTAAATTTTATTTTCGAAGAAAAAAAACAATTGAATACCTGAAATAAGTGGGAGTTTCTGAGTTAACTCTGCGCTAGTAAACTTTCAGTAACTCGTAGAGCATTCGACTTTGTCAAGTGTTGCTATAAATAGTTTTCTTTTCCCCAACTCTCTCTCTCTCTCCCTCTCGCTCTCTCTCTCTCTCTCTCTCTCAATCTGCATCCAACATCCCCAAATTCCCTCATTGCCACTAGCAACCAATTTGCGCATTGTCTGGCATGGAGTCATGGAGGAAACGGGTTCACTTCCTCATTCCACATTCTCTACTCAAATGGCTGTAATGAAGGTCTGACTCTGGAGGAATGGGAGAGTAAATTTTCTCAGCCTAGGCGTGTGGGTAGGAGAAAGTAATGATCTCCAGATTCGTTATTTGAGCATTTGCTACTCTTCCGCGCGCTCTCCCTCTCCCCATTTCCCAAACCTTGCTCGCTCTTCCACTACTAGGCTCATCCACCCTCTCCTCCCCCCCCCCATTTTTCACCCACTCCTTTTTTGTTCGCGTCCTTTCTTCTTTTCCTACCATAGAAGGGTGGAAGAGGGGGAGGGGGAGAGGAAGAGGGCCAGAGGAAGACGGTAGTAGTTGCTGTGCTTTCTCATTTGCGTCTCTTCCGATCCCCACAAATGGGTTTTGTTGGTTACTACACGAAAACCACATGCTTCTCTCTTTTTTCTGTCTCTCTCTCTCTCTCTTCCACCCTCGCCTTTTTCAAAGAGAGGATTTTGAGAATTTTGTGCCCTTGTCGAATTAAAGCTGTGCTTTAACAGAGGTGATTTAAAGTGGATTGAACAAGAAGTGCATGATTTTAGCTTTTCATTTTAAATGGAGCAAGGTCTTTCTTGTGTTTGAAACCATCATAATGAAAATTTTCCACTAATGGAAATGATAAGCTGAAATATTCTTCTATTGATAGTTTAATTGTTTTATTGATTATCATTTAAAGTTATTCATTTTTTCGCTATCCAGATTTCACTAATTTATAATGATCTACTTTTATGTTAGAATTTTAACACTAAATAAAAATTTACATTATTAATTTTTATTTATATATCTTGATTTTTAATTATGCTTGTTTATATTTAAGGTGCAGTGCATATAGTAACATTTTTTAACTCTACTAGAACAGATGAAATTGTAAATAAAATTTCAGTGATATTTTGAATTAATATTAGTTTCATCTTGAATATCTTTTATTTTTAATAATTTATATTTTACTTAATTTAAGATAAACCTGAACAGTTAGCTATTCTGGAGCCATTGGAAATGGGCAATCAGCCACCTGCAGTTCCCCCCCATCAGAATCTCATTTCGGTAAGTTTATTTCAATTTTCATTTTAAAATTAACAATGCAAAATTTTAAACCGATATAACGATCGATTGGTACTCTATTTGATAAAATTGAGATCAATATTTTGTTTTTTCTTAATTGATCCCCGTTTAAAACACTCTAAATGCATTAACTTTTCGAGAAAAAATGTTCCTTCTTGCTTGCCTTAACGAGACATTTGATTAATCACATCAGTTGAATGTCTTAGTCTAAGTTAGGCTAAAGATAGCTAGATAATTTCCAATGTTTGAAATATTTTCTTATAGATTAGCGCTTTTTTACTATTCAGTTTGAAACGAAATGCGACTTTTCGCTGTGTCAGGCGAACCAGGAGGAAAGACTTCCCAAGAATATCTTCTCACCCCAATCCCAGGAATCGATGACGCCAGTTTCGTCATATTCCATGACAATAGCAAAATCGCCCCTCCCAACTACCAGCGTAATGCGTCGGCCGGCACCCCGTCCCCCTGTGAATACGTCTCAACGATCTTCACCACCACCTCTGATTACCATGGCTGAAACGAATTCCATCTCACAAAGCTCTACAACAGTAGCCAACGGAATCGCTGCTGATCCATTAAAAGATGACTCAATGTTAGCTCATTTTGCTGTTATTGAAATAATTTAAAGGAAATAAGTTATCCCACCCTTTTCTCCTTTTAAAGTCCTTAAGGAAGATATTTATCGTGAGTTAACATAGTTTTGTGCAAAGTGTTTTTTGTGTTAGCAACTTTGGTTGCTGTTTTTTGTTTTAAAATCAATATTTGCAGAGTAAATCAAATACACAAGGTTATTAAGTGTTTTACCAACTAAGAATTAGGCAAAGAATCAGCTTATATAGTTTTTTTAAATAATTCTTTCAAATTTGTTTGAATATTTTCCCTGTTTCATGCCAATTTCAGAACAACGCCTTTTTCGACGGATACCTGCAGAGTCTTTGAAAATTTTTTCTAGTCTACACTTGTAAAGCAATGTGAGGGCAAAACACTCAAAGGATATTCTCTTGAGATTGACAACTACCTTTTTCCTAAACGAAAGTAATATGGAAAGATTTTTTATTTACTTCACGTCAAGAACAAACGCATTTTATCATTAGTTTTAGGAGAATGTCGTTGAAACAGTAACTACTTTTATAACTGCACTTAAAATACTACTGAAATGAAATTTTAAATTAGCAAATAAAAGCATTTTAAAGTAATTAGTTGTTGTATATTGTGAGGGACTAATCGGGCATTTAACGAATTGCCACTCCGATTAGAACACATCGGCCATTACCAATCACTCGTGAAATTGTTCTTTTTCACTAAAAGTTAGAATAAGATGGCAAAAGTGTAAGGCTAGTTGAACTTATACTTTTTTTTAAAATCTGCTCCTCACTTTCCATTCCACCGTCATGTCGATTCAATGTTTAGCAAGATCGCCATCTATGTTGAGATTAACTGACGTTTGAATAATTTGAATGCGTAGTTTTCCAAAAAAGATCTGGATTCGTCTAATTTATTTGAAATAATATTAAAATGTATGGTTTGGTCTTTCTTTCCAAAAAATCGTCACTTACAGAATATAATTTACTCCGAAAATAGAGACAGTAGAGGGGTTAATAGAAATTTGACTCAGCACGATGATTTTCAATACTTTTAGTATCCTCTTAGAAATTAATTGTTCATTCAAAAGGTAGATTGTGGATGAATTTATGTGATCCACCAATTCAACGCCCACTACCAGAAGGTTAAGTAGCATTTCCTACACTTTGTGCTATTTGTATGATTTCAGATGCAATCTGCTGTTACACAGATAGACCACCATGAATTACAGATTTACTCACGTCAATGCACTTTCCTCTCCGTTTTTTGCCTTTTCGTTGTGGTCTTGCCAGTCACTGTTCCATTAGCGCTACGCTGCTCTTTGTCCATCTCCTTTCACGAAATTTTAATATTCTTTTATACCATAACTGAATACGCTGATCATTCATTCATTAATTCACACACACGCACACACACTCACACACGCACACACAATAATGCCAAAATAGTTTGGCACGGCCTGAACATCGACTGCTTCAGCGACCCCAAGTGTTTGAACCAAACGGGGCACTTTCATGGAGCTTAAAAAAGGTCAGAGATCTCATTATTTGATGCTCTGGAAATTAGAAAATTAGCAACAATCTTTTCGAGAAGCCTCACCATTTTAATAGATTATGCTGTCTTTTAATCAATGCTCATTTCAAAGTCTGTGGTCTAGGCCAAGTTTTTTTTGCCAATATTCTTATTGAAAGGTGAATATATTAATATGAAATAAAGTGATATTTTGCTTGAAATAAGTCAATGCAAGTGGTGTGAAAGAAATAATCTTCTATGGTAGAACTGAGAGTGCTTTTCCTTAATTTTCTATGATAACCATTGTTCGTTTTCACACTGAAACAACAAAAAATGGTCTGACTATTAGTTATTTGAGATTATTCCATTAAATATCTGCTCATAATAAGAGTAAAATAGTTAAATAGTTTTATTAAACTATTGCTGGTAGCAGACAGTTTATTAAAACTTTTGCACTTCATTGGTCATTAATTGATTCAAACATTCTATTATTTCAAGCAAGATAATAGTTTAATACGGAAAATTTGTTGTTGATATATCGATAAATTCAACCTCTTCAACGACCGTAGAGCAGATAAATGAATCAATTCAAGTGCTTTTATGTAAAGGGAAGATAAATTTGGACTTAAATATGTAAGAGGCTTTGGTCAGCAACATGTAACAATTTTATTTAATCATGTTCTCATCAGTAAATAAGATTTATGTTATAATTTGTTTTATTTTCAGCGAATTCGAGTCTCTCTCAACGTTTACCAGAATTCCATCTTCCCAACTTTCAACTGATTCCTCTGTAAGTCTAAAACAATTGTTGGAATTTTCAGTTCTTAAATTATTTTGTTGCTAGTGTTGAGATTTGCACATCTAACTACTTATGACTGTGACAAACTTTCAGTTGCTCAGAACCGGCTAATTTTCGTATGATTTATTTAGAGTTAACTTAAAATAGTCGTTGGATTCATTTGAGCGTAATGGCCACTTGTTATGTCGAATTGACAACACATGGTGTAAGGACCATAAAATCTCCACAAACGTAACCAAACCGAAGAAATCTAGTCTCCTGAGATTAATTAGCACACACACACACAGACCTTAATAACGGGAAAATACTGAACATTCATAAAAGAGAGTTAGAATAGCAAACCACAAAGAACTGGAAGCGGCCTCAACTCAAAGTCCTCTGTACATTTCTCCTGTATAGACTTAACATGCATCTTTAAATTCTTTCTTTATACGCACTACTGCAAGCAGTGCTGTTGCAACCTACTAGTGTCACTGTCTAGTCAATCCTTGTAAGGATATTCTGTTCAAAAACTGTAAACTTATTTCTGGACCGAAAAGATATAAATTTATTTCCAATGGCAGGCGTTATGATAGGTATCATTAGCCCTTTAGTTGACTTCAGGCTTCACAGAAAGGAGGAGGAACATCAAAGTGGCAAAAAGTCGAGAGAGGTTTAGAATAATGATTCACAGACGTAAAAGGGACAGACAGACACAAAGGTAGAAAAAAGGTGAGGTGAGTACTGTGGAAGTAGTCGAATATGACATACAGTGGGGTCATGCCAGTTTGAAGTCAGAAGTCAACTGACAGTTAATAGTCTTGTTTGGCATTTTGATAGTTATCATTAGCCCTTTAGTTGACTTCGGGTTTTACAGAGGGAAGGACGAATATCAAAATGAGAAGAATTCGAGAGGGAGAACAGAAGAATGATTCACAGATGTAAAGGAAACGGACACAAAGGTAGAGAAAAGGCTAGATGAGTGCGGTGGAAGGGGTCGCATATGACATACAGTGGGGTGATGGTAGTTTGGAGTCAGAAGTCAACTGCCGGTTGATAGGGATCATGGTAGTTTGAAGTCAACTGCCAGGTAATTGACGGGGTAGTTTGGAGTCAGAAGTCAACTGCCGGTTGATAGACTTTTTGCCGTATGATTATACGTTGCCCAGGGTGCACCACGAAGAGGTAAGTCTATCTCACACCCCAGACCGAAAAGATATAAAGTTACATAAATCGAGTGAAGGAGACATCGAAGTGAGATCAATTCGGTATTTATTGTGACCCAAGTTTACCGTTATGAAACATAAATACCTCTTAAATAATACTAGATCTTTGTTTTCAATTAAATTGCGATAAGTTTGTATTAATCGTTGTATTCCATATTAAGTGAGAAAATGGAGACAGTTTTTTTATTTCATTTTCGCTGCTAGAAGGTACGTACACATTAATCCCAAGTTAAGGTGCAAGGCCTTTTAATTTAGAATTCGGTCGAAGCTTTAATAATTTCTTTAAAAAAATTATTTCTTTATGACTAAAGAAAAATGAGATACAATGCACTTTCGATTATGTGATACATTTATTTCTTGCCACGGTTTGCGTTCATATTGTTCAGTTTGTGCAAGCAATGTGAAGTAGTCTGAATCGTTGTACATTTTACTTGTAAAATCTTAAACAAAAGTTCTAATGAAACAAAGAAACGTCTCTTCCTACTGCGCATTGTTTTCCGGTTGAGATAAAGTGCCTTTCACTCTACGAAATTCTGATTTTAGCAATTATTCAGCAGTTATGATCAATGTCGAATCTCATTGCTATTGCAAATTTGCGAGGTGGTGAACTTAAACCCTATGAGTTGCGCTTAACTTTTATTCACCTCAATGACAGGATTGTATGCAATTCTGGAGATGAATAGCGAAACTGAATTTTTTCGGAATTGACCTGTCCGATTACTAAGAAAATATAGCAACTTAAATCTGCAAATCAACTGAAGCAACGTCCTTTCATGATTGCACAGTTGTCTTAGAGTACTTGCTTCTTCCACGATAAGAGAAATCTGCGCTTCATATTAATGTCTCGGATTAGAAATCAAACTCTTTAAATTTGCCAATTATTAGAAATTGTGTGAATAGTGAAAAGTTTTAATACTTCCTTTGGCAGCTAATTTATCTTTACTAATCTCAAATGGTAAATTTTTATTTTCATTTATATAAATGGCAGGCGTTCTGATAGTTATTATTAGTCCTTTAGTTGACTTCAGACTTCACAGAGGGAGAGGAACATCAAAGTGGAAAAAAAGTCGAGAGAGGGGGGGGGGACAGATGAGTAATTCAAAGACGAAGGTAGAAAAAAGGTGAGGTGAGTACTGTGGAAGTAGTCGAATATGACATACAGTGGGGTCATGGCAGTTTGAAGTCAGAAGTCAACTGTCCATTGATTGACTTTTTTGCCGTATGAATATACGTTGCCCTGGGTGCACCACGTGGAGGTAAGTCTATCGCACTTGAATTTGGATATTTAATATCATTGGCTTAGTACGGCTTAACATGGTGGGGGGGGGGGGGGGACGAATGTTACTTTTCTTTCTGTTACCTCAAATCACTCTATTAAAATTCCTGAAACTAGCTCCATTTTAGACCTTTAAATGATTTAAGCGCTTTTTTATTTGATAGCATCAAGCAAAAATGTTCTCTTTTAACTTATATACTTTTAATCTTTCAACAGGAAAATTAAATTAAAATATGGGAAATTTTCTCACTCAAATATGGGATAGAAGCTGAAATCATTTCGTGACTATTCGCATGAAGTATGTAAACGTATTGACTATTTTATTTTAGAACGTGCTCGGGCAAATCCGTTAAAGTAAGCTTTGAGAACTTTTCCTTATCTCCTAAATGTGACGCCCTTTGTAGCTATGTTGGCTGTTTTGCTAATGTCAAGTGTTTTTTCCTCTCCCTGGATTTTGTCTCTGGATAACCAATTTATTGACAGTTTCCGAGATACCTGAAAGGTATCCATACATTGTCAAATATGCCTTTTGAATTCCTTTCCTTTTCTCCTTCAAAACGTCTTTTATACGGCTAGAAATAGCTCCTGCAGTTGCATCTATTAGCACCATGACAACGCCAGAACTTTGAATTTGTCAAAAGGAAAAAATGGATTTCTCTGTTTTATTCTCTCATCTTTTATTTTAAATGCGAGAATTTGTGATTACACTTTTATCAAATTGTACTATTTTTGTAAATTTTAAATTTATAAGTTCACATTTTTCATAATCTATCCAATTATTCTAGACATATCGTTTTATTTATTCATTTTCATAGATTTGCCATATCTATGCTAAAAGATTTGCACAATGAATATTGATTTGTTGACCAACGATTGCACATTTGAAAGATGAATTTTATTAACAATTACATTTTGTTCTGATTTAATAATTTTCATTATAAAAGTTGCATTTTTTGTTCCTTCACGTAAACATCAATCTTTGAAATATAAGTCCAAGGATCATTAGTGAGAGATCAGAGAAAACTTCCCAAACTGCTCTTCCTCTAAGTGCCTCAAAAAAGTAAATAAATCAATGTCAATGCCAAATATGTTCATAGAGAGAGAGAGAGAGAGAATATGGAGAATGTGAGCGGAACATGAATTCTAAAGTGGGAAAAAACTAGGAAGGAAGTGGAAAGCGAATCACTTTCAGAATATGTAAATAATAGGAGCAGTAAATTGATTAAACTAGGTTATCCACAATATTGGTGGATCATCAACGTCGAAATAATTTCCAACTTATTTTTATTCATTTTATTCTTCAAATGTTCACGTCATCATGAGATTTCTCTTACATATTTTAATAATTATCATTTTCATATTGAAAAAAATTTATTTAGCTTTAAGCCAAAGAGTAAAACGACAGCTCTTATTTACCTATTAATTTGGTGATCAAGAACCCGCTTATGAAGTACTGTTTGAGACAATGTAATTTTGAGGTGTTAACTACTGATCAATAGGAGAGGTTGTATTCTTCCTTCTCCAGGCGTGGGAGATGTTTCTCCTGCAGAATTGTGTTAATTTTCACTAGATCTGCACTCTATGCGTTTTTTACCGCTTTCAATGCTCTCTTATCTGCTCTACCTTGGTTGTTAATCGCAAATTGTTTAGCTCACGTTGAAGTGCTTGCTTTTTGTGGCATTTTCACCGTTCAAAACATTGGAGGCTTTAATTTGTTCTGCCTAACTCTTTGCCCTTAAAATTACTTCAAAAGAGCAGCTTTGGTTATTTGGTTTCTCCTATCAAAATTTTATCCCACATTGCTATATAAAAATTTTATTTATTCATCTCTTTGCAATACGTGAAGTTTTTGTTCTAAAATTGCTTGAGTTATCTCAAGAAATTGAGTAAAGCATCATTTCTTTATGTTCGCCTAAATTTTCGAATACTTCAGTAGAATAAGGTGCCTTGTTGTTTCGTCTGACAATGAGTGCATCTTGTTTCGATTCCTTATAAGGACTTCCACGTGTTCCATTTTGAATACTCCATCAGCTATTTCTACCTGAATCACGATCCCCAAAGGTGGTTTGATTATTGTATAACTTCCAGTAGTTTTAGAAGCCAGCTCTAATGCGAAAAATGTACGAGTTCTAAGATTGTTTTTTTTCGATAAAATTGAGATAGTCCTAGCCCCTGTGTTTTAAGCTGACCACAATCTTTTATTTTTTTCTTTACTTACTTTCTTTTGTAAATGCCTTTAACCCTGGGAAATTTTGTCAATCTCAAATGAATGCTTGCTTTGCAAATTACCCAGAATTTCTTTTCCAATTCAATTACCTGAAAGTAATTATTAAAGGCATTACAAGGAAACTAATTCTTTTTTAAATCATTTTTTAAAACCCCGTTCATATCAAAAGTGAATATGACGCGTTTTAAAATTGCTATTTGTATTTAATCGTGGGTTAAGAAAAGCTTTAAGCATCTTTTTTTTAACACCATTCTACCCACTTGTTTCACTAACGTCAAATAGTCTTTCAAATCTTATTTTTTAGTACGTCTTACGATCAATATTCATTAAGAAAATTAACAAAATATATTCTGTGTCTTTATGATCCTCCTCCTCTCCCCATGTATGCTCCTTCACCGCATTAATAAATTAACAGAAATAAAAAACGTTAAAGAAGTAAATTAATGTTCTGTTGTTCTTGATCGTTTTTACGTTCCCACTGAGTGATTTCTCTACGAGTGGCTCAATTTGACGCAAGGCTTATTTTCTATTTGCACCTCTGGTAAAGCCGAAAACGTAAAACTAAATTACTGATTTTAGATCCCAACATTTAATCCGAAACCGCCATTACCGAGATTGCCCATTCAACTCCTTCCATCCCTCGAAGAAGAGAACTCGCAGTCTACGACACTCTCCAAGATTCCAGAAGAGGATGACAGCACCTCGCAGGCATCGACCGTTGTTGTGGTCCAGGCTCACCATCAACCCCAGCAGCAGCAGCAGCAGCGTAGATCGTCAAATTCTCCTACGGCATCAGTGTCCACCACTTCTTCAAGTACAACCCTTCCACTCTCTTCTTCACCTCAACGAACACGATCGCCAGTTCATACTACGCCAACGGAATCGTTGGATACGGAAGGGGAAGAATTGTTGGATAAACTAACCCAACGGTAACATCTAATTATTAGTATTTTCATTTGTGTAAGATGTCTTCAGAATTGCTAGATTTTCCAAATTGAAATAATGTGAAATCTAATACGTTTCGTTATTGTTACGTAATTCTCAGAAGCTGGAGAGTTAGTGGAATGTACGCTTTCCATAAAGATGACTTCATGATTTCTCCTCTCTTTACTTTACCAAATGTCGTTGAGAAGATCATTTTCTTTTTTTATCCAATTCACGTGTTTTGTACTTTACGTTTAGCCTATTCTTAAAATCGTTAGACATTTATTATTCCCAAGCAGCTAAATGAAAAGCCTTCAAATCGAGACTCAGAAAGCACAAGGTGCATCAGAATTTATTCAATTATTTTTGCCGTGGGAAAGATAGTGATTGGAACCTTCTCGTCTGTAACACAAGTGATGATTTGGCTCTAACAACCAATCTTGTAAAATGACCCCCTTTATCACACCGATTCCATTATACAGTTATGAAGTAATATATTTAAAATAAGAAGTAGGTTTGTCTTCCTCTGATTGATCTACCAATTCATATTCTGTCGTGGTAATTCATTCTTTTATTTTTCATGATCAATAGTAGATGAACCTTTGGGCTAGGTGCTAGGTGGGGCCTAAAATGCATTAGGTATTTCGTGTTTTCATGAATGCTTAGTATTCCCAAATACATGTTAATGAAATCTTATGATAAATACTTTTTTTGGCTTGGCTCAGAACACGCTCTATATTTGTGAATCGTCCAATGTGTCCTGTTAATGGTATTCTATGGAAAATTTACCTTCCAACTTTTCTTTCCACAATATTTCCCTAAAATTGCCAACAGATTTACCATATGTTTGCTGTTTTTTCCAACAAGACATATTTGTTTCCTTTTTTAACAATCAAAATGAGCCTGAAATAGGGGAAAATAACTTGGGGTAAATATCTATTTATATTTTAATATATTTCACCAGCTCAAAGTGATTTCCGTCAAAACATATGCTGATCCATTACGTTTACAGAACAACGATCATGTAATGATTTGCCTAGGGTTTTATGTAATTTTAAAACAGTTATATGGGTTAATTAGTTTAAATTTCCTATTCCTTATACCTCATTAAAAATCATTGTTCCGATAAGGGTATTTAAATGAGAACTAAAAGTTTCGCTTACACTGTGGCTTGCCTTGTTTATAATTGTACAAATTTACGTGTAATTTGAAAGCGGTTCGATTAAAAATGCTATCTTTGAGTGATATCAATTTCCATTCATTTTCTGGGTGATAGGAATGCAATATTTTTTCGTTAGCTAATAATTAATGTTGATGAAAAAAATAATTTTAGTAGTAAAATAAGTTTTGCAACTTCTCAGTTAGTCTTTATTAAATCTACAGCTATTCAGTCTCAAAGAAGGTGGGACAAGAATATTTCTACCTCTAAAGACGCTTTTCGTATTAGTAAAATTAAATTGCTCATATAAACTTGAATAGGTGGTAAATGATTGGCTGTCTGACTAGCCAATAATTGTAGCAACATCTTCTTCCCAGGTGGTCTCACATATCCAGGTGTGAATGGTTGGGGGGGGGGGGGCNGGGGGAGGGGGAATCCAATCGAGTCCATCATCCATTGCTTGAGAACTGGAGCCTGGGATTTTCTCTCGAGTTCAACGTAATCATTCATTTAGTCCTCTTATCGGCAACTATCCATTTCTACGCTTCTAGTTATTCTTTGAACTTCTTGGAACCAAGTAAGTCGTATCTTGTTAAACATGGGAAAACACCTAAAAATAAAATGAATGAAATTATCAGAAAGAGGTTAAGAGTGGAGGTATGGTATTCGAAAATCGTTCTTTGTTTTGGTCATGTTTCCCATACGAAGGAAGGCGACTTTATTTTAAGCTGCATTTCTTTTAGTTGAAAATGGAGTTGCCAATATCCAAATGATATATCTTATATGACTTGGAATGATGGGTTATTCGTTGGTGGTCTTACGAATTCAGGTGCGAGCAGTAAAATCCATTCTTCGATGTATCAACGCATGAGTTCTGCTTCATTGTACTGGAAGTGTTCGCTCATTTGTCATTCAATTGGATATATTTAACTTCGTAATGTCTATCATTATAGAGTTCAATTTGTTTTGAACCTGAACTGAAGTAATCGTATTGAGTTAGCATCTGTACCTCAAACTCTTTATCCGTATGTCTAAATAAAACAGCTTTTATATATTTTTATTATATAATTATCCTACTACCCAATCTTGGCTCACGTAGCCACTAATATTTGCCTTAAGACCATCAAGATACGACGTTCTTCGGTGGATGAAAAAATGTAGTAAATGAAATCAGGTTACTTTGAAGAATGATGAATTAATAAGATGGAAAGGTGGTTGGAATAGAAACAGAAATTAACAGTAAAGAGGGGTGGGGGCGTTGGTATTGAACGAAGCTAACCAGATTGTGGGAAATAAATGACTTTAGCTATGCGAAGAAAGCCGACAGTGTCAGCTAATGAGAAGCTGAGAGTTTGGAATGAGATATAGGAATCATTTTGTATCCCACTGCAAGAGCCACAAACCCCTTCGTAAATTTAAACAAGGAAAAAAACATATGAATGAATGTTTATTTAATTTAATGAAACGTTTTCTTCTTCATTTTTGAAAGTACACACAAATGTAACTATTTTTTCTGTTAATTTTGAGTGCTAAAATAATCCTGCTTTTAAATTTTAATCTAAAAAATCTGAGATTTAATTAAAATATGTCAATATTTCTGCGCAATTTTAATTTTGTTTTGTCCTCTCGAAAATATATTTTCAAAAGTCATGTTAAAAATTTTTACTATTTGGAATAATTATCATATTTCGGATAAAATCTCCTCTGTCCGTTTTTGTAAAATTCTAAGACAGCAAGTGGTGTAATCGATTTAGAGAAAACCGAATTTGTGGCATAGCATAGTCGCGTTCCAATTAAACTATTGGAAGCTCTAGACAACTGAAATCAAATAGCAGAAAATGGAATGATTAATAAAGAACGGAGATGTTTAAAAAGGTTCTGGTAACAACTGGAAGTTATTAGTGTGTCTTGCTTTATTTTATTTTGTTAGAATCAAGTTGAGTAGTATTAATTATTTGAGGGATGCGCGTTCCAAATTACAAATAGCCTGCTTCTTCCCCTGACTTCTGAATGAATTCTTACCTACAACAGTTCATAGTCTGTCTTGTGACTACAATTCACTTTTCAGCCAATTAGTGAGAGGACAGATTACAGTGGTGACTCAATTGTTTTGTGATTGGTACAAATTCAAGTCATCTATTCTCTTTTAGGCTCTTTTTTTCTCAAGATGTGGCGCAGATCGTCTTATTTTCCAAATCCACAATTATTTGCATTTTTGTTAGGTATTTTCATTTTATACATGCCTTGTTGTGCCTAATTTTAGAAGAATAAATAAAGCATTCCACTCCGTTTTGTTTGATATTGTCTTTTTTGCGATTTAAGGTTAAGTTGGAGTTACTTTTAACTGAATTCTCGTATATGACGTCTTACATTTGACAAAGATTTCTAATTATCCTAAAATTTGTCTTCGCTAAAGATTTGGACTTTGAGAAGAAGAAGACACTTAACTCGAAGATTTAATTTATTTTTTTTGAGAAAAGGGAAAATTTTCACAGTTGTTTTAGCCCTAGATCGGAGGACAAATTCTAACAATTACGCTGACAATAAGATTTTGTTTTATTTTATCTTTTTTCATGAAAATTTTCTTCCGGATATTTCTTCCAACAAAATTTCTTAAGCAAATTATTCTTTATTTTGGGTAACAGGGTTGCCAGGCCAACTGCTTGTTATTGAAAAGTTACTGACACTCGAGTTTACAGTATTCGACTGGAGAATTCGAATAGCGTACTTTAAATTTCTTGCATGTATTTGTTTACACTGAAGCATCTTTCCACTTGACAAATGCCCACAAGCTGTAAGATCTTCGTTGGCTTTGTGGTGTTCGATCAAGCTGTGTTTCCACATTGCACTTTCATTCCCAGATCCTCCGCTTAATTCTAATGCCAATGTTGTGCATATATATTTATCTCTAGTAGTTCCTACTTATATTTCTCCTCTTAAAGTTTTTTTCTTCCGTAATTTGATTCGAAAAGCCGTGTATTAAGCTTTCTGCTTCTGCCGTTGTTCAGCATTCCATCAATAATGTTGTAATTCTCTCTACTATTGTTCAAATGGGCTGATATAACCTATAAAGAAGGGTTTTAAAAACCTCAACATGATTAATTCCAAAGCACATGGCTACTTTGCTTTGGCTTATTAACCCTAATTAAAACATTTACGAACCCTGCAATGAAATCTAAAATTGTCGTCAACAAATATCTTGCGCGATAATTTATTGCCATGAGTGTTTTGAAGTGTTCTTCTTAGTGACGCTGAATGAAAGCAAATGGAAACATTGCTATTTCTACCTTTATTTTTTTGCTTGAAGTCACTGTCAACGTCAAATATCTGAATACTTTTATTCCTGGAAGACGTATAGTATATTAGAAAACACCGTATTTGCCCAATGAGTAGTGAAGCACTATGCGAAGTGGGTTTATTTCTTCACCGTTCATTGCCTAATCAAACAAAGCGATGTGTCACGCGAGCTGAATCCATGTTTATATTTTAATAGCTGAAAGCATATCAAAATGATACTAGTTCTAGGGTGTGTTTAATTTTATTAAATTAAATGTGGAAAAAATTTCACAAATTTTGAATCTATTTTAAACTTTAGAACAGTTATGTTAGAATATGGATTGATGAAAACGTTACACACTTAATGTGTAGCCAAAATTAACTTTTTAATTTAATTAACAAGAAAGTGAGGCATAAATTCAGGACGATGTCTAGTTGTTTATTAGTGAGAAGTTCTCCAAAACTGTGTCACCATGAAGTTGTCCCCACATTTCTCATAGGGTTCAAAGTAACTCACTTTTTCTGTGTTGGTTTGTAGGATTCATAATGGCTTTCGTTGAAACTCAACGGGTTATTAGATATATACTGCTATAGTAGAGCATTGTAGTGGCGTTCATGATCATCTCACTTCAATAAGCGATTTATTGAAGAGAGCTTGGAGCAAAAATGTACATTCGATTTTGATCTCGATGTCATCAATGGGCTTTCCATTCACTTGCCAAAAAGAGTATTCTTTGAACCCCTTTTGTTTACTTTCTAGATTACTTGCAACGAGAATTCTATGGATGAATAACGGATTGAAATACTTGAATGAAACATATTTTTGTATCAATACACTTTCCCCACTTATCTTAACTATGCCTTTCGTAGGATGTCCTCCACTTGACATGCAACCGGACAAGTGCCTGCCCTTTTGTTTTTCTTGACTTGGCATTGGAGTCCTGCTTGTTCTCTACTTGAATATGCGAGGGGAGAGCAGCAACATGCGGCCCCAAGGCTAATTAAATAAAGCCGTGTTTGTTGAGCCACACTTTGTTGCAACAATTCAGAAAATAAACTTTCTTCTTTGTGGATTCTTGCATTGCCGAAATCGTTATTAACAAGAGTTAGCATCTCCAAATTATTAGCTATAATCTTCTGCGTATCAGATTGTAGAATGCGTCCATTCTAAATAGGTGATGGAATTAGCTTTCTCACAGTAGCCATCTATTTATATCATTTTAATTGCATTTGAATTTTCAATCAGATTAAATAATTTTCAAACTACTCCAGACACATTAAATTATTGCTTTATGAAATTACTACGCTTTAATATCGAACAAAGAATTTTCATGCAGTTTAAGCAATATCTTGTTCACATTTTTTTCAAGTAGACCAAAGAAGACGTCGAAACGAGATGGTAAGGGCTTGACAAAGCGTCGCAAAGCATTCCGATGGGGGAGCCATCAAGGAACAGACAAGAATGATGCAAGCACACCTTCGAGTGAAGATGATGTTGACAACACTGATCGATCCAAGCAGTCAAGTTCAACTCCTGTTCCTCAAAATGACCTAGTAAGTCATGAGTCGTGGTTAGTCAAACAAATTTTGTATATTTTTTCCTGCGAAATTTCTTTAATACCATTTAGGTCGAAAGATATTCCCTATTACTACATAATTCAATTGCATATTTAGCTATTTTTTTGTTTTTAAATTAATGAATTTGCGGATTTAAGCCCGTCATATGATGGGTTCATTTTTTTCCTAAACCAGGGATTAACCACTGCGTTGACTATTCGATCTCTCTTTTCTTAAAACACTTTCATATTTTGTTTTATTTTTTCATTTAAATTATTTCTTCTTACACCTTAGTGGCATAAAACAAATAATATTAAATGTTGAGTTTGCGTTGGTCGTTTATCATCATCATTGTTTTTACCCCTGAAGTGCATATATTGACCGCCTTTTGAGATGAACTGTTTATTCACATTAATTAAATCTACTTTTACCGGGACATGCCATCGACCCAGTTGTTGTTTAGGAGATTTATCGGTTTTTCGTACATTTATGACTGGAAAACGGATCTGTAGAATAAAGAGGTGTTAAAATGGCATTTAATTCGGTTTGAAATGTTTTATAACTTTGCTGATTGCTTTGTATTTTTTTGCCAGCGCTAAAGGATGCAGCTATTATTGTTGTTTATTTCATTACAGCGTTATAGGCAGTCTAAATTTTACAGTCATCATACTTTTTATTCACGCTGAAAATGGTAAGATGAATTAATATAAATGTCAGTGAAAATTTGTGTGAAAACTTTTCGCTCCTTTCATTTAAGCGAACTCAAATACTAGGGTCTGGAAATGCGCAGTTTGTCGTTGTGGAGAAAAGTTGGAAAAGTCAACTTGTGTTAAGTCATCTTCTTCGTCTCTTTTCTCTTTTAAACCAACCAAACTTCAATCCCTTCCTAAGGTGCGCAAGAAGCCCTGACAAGTATAAAATATTTTCAAAATATTTATTTTAAATATTAAATAGTGAAATTCCATCCAACAGCAAAGTCTAGTTATTTATTTAATGACACTTTGAGCTTCTTTATTAAAATATATGTTAAAGCAGTTAACATGACACGTAACTGCAGTTTTAACGCAAAATAAAAATGAATATTTTTTGAAATCATGCCCCCCCCTTATAAAAAATAAATAAATTTCCTTGAGACCAGTCATTAATTTATTTATCTCGGTAACTTAGAAATTCATAATCCTTTCTGATTCTTTATTCAGCGCTATTAAAAAAATAATGCGATAAATGTATTCATTTTTATTTATATCAAATGGCAGGCGTTTTGATGGTTACCATTAGCCCTTTAGTTGACTTTAGGCTTCACACAGGGGAAGAAAAATTAAAGTGAAAAAAGTCGAGAGGAGGAGGGGAGGAACAGAAGAGTGTTTCAAAAATGTAAAAGAGACAGACACAAAGGTGGAGAAAAAAGGTAAACTGAGTACTGTGAAAGGGGTAGAACATGGCATACAGTGAGGTGGAGATGAGTACTTTGAAAGGGGTCGAATATGACATACAGTGTGGGTGATGGTAGTTTGAAGTCAGAGGTCAACTGCCGGTTAATAGACTTGGGGTCATGATAGTTTGAACTCAGAAGTCAACTGCCAGTTAATAGACTTACTCATGGTAGTTTGAAGTCAACTGCCAGGTAATAGACTTTAGTTTGAAGTGAGAAGTCAACTGCCGATTGATAGACTTTTATTTGAAGTCAGAAGTCAACTGCCAGTTAATAGACCTTTTCAGTCAGAAGTCAACTGCCGGTTTATAGACTTTTTTGCCGTTTGAGTAGTCAGAAGTCAACTGCCGGTTAATAGACTTTTTTGTGAAGTGAGAAGTCAACTGCCAGTTAATAGACCTTTTTGCGTTGAAGTCAGAAGTCAACTGCCGGTTAATAGAATTTTTTTGCCGATAGTTTGAAGTCAACTGCCGGTTAATAGACTTGTTTGCCGTATGAATATACGTTGCCCAGGGTGCACCACGTGGAGGTAAGTCCATCGCACACCCCATGTAATTAATGTCAATCACATCCAACTATTACCTTGTAAAGATTTGAGCTAAAGCCTTATCCTAATAAAGTAATTAAGTAGGGGAAAGGCCTTTTATCAATTATCTGAATGAACACGATGGAAGCAGTCATTTCTGTTATGTTCACGTTTCATTATCATCATGCTTGCTTGAGTAGTAACCATATCTCAATTCTTTGGAGGTTTGCCTTCAATATAACAATTAGCTTACAATTAGTCAATTATCATGTGCAAAGGCTGATCGGATTAATGATCTTACACTTGGTATTTAAATAAAAGCAAATGTGTTTTGATATTTTGAATAATCCGTCTGTTCAAGGTTATCTAATGGTCAATTACAACTTATCTCATAGTGTTGTGGATATTGACGTCAGATTATACGACTCAATCTTCACGTTGTTGAACTGGATTGTTTGATCAAGATCAATGACAATTATTTGAAAAAATGATTGTTTCTTTGACTCTTATCTATAAAGCTCCAACTGCGTATGCTATTTTCTAATCCCCGTAAATCCATATACGCTGAATGAAATTGAAATGTTTTGACAAAAACTAATGATCTGAGTTTTGTAAATTTCTGGAAGCGGTATGCTTAGTCGTCTTCTTTTTCGTCATGTGGTTCAGATGCTATCTCAGATTTTTGCGATTCCATAGCATTGCGTCTTTTATATTCTTCTCATTTTGTTTGAACGTAAAAAGCTATAACGAATAACAGCCACCTTCACCCACTTCTCATCGTTATTTTGCGCTTTTGTGCCAACCTTTGAACCAATACGCTTCTTTAATTGATCACCTTATCAGTCATCCAGAATACAAAACACTCTGTTGAAAGTACACATTTTATTTATATTGTCAAGAAAACTGCTAATGCGCCGAACAGGATATTATTATTATATCAAATGGCAGGCGTCTTGATGGTTATCATTAGGTATATCAAATGGCAGGCGTCTTGATGGTTATCATTAGCCCCTTAGTTGACTTCAGGCTTCACATGGAGGAAGGTACATCGAATTGAAAAAAAGTCGAGAGGGGGGAACAGAAAGTTGTTTCAAAGATGTAAACGAGACAGACACAAAGGTAGAAAAAAAGGTGAGGTGAGTACTATGGAAGAAGTCGAATAGGACATATATCGAAGATATAGATGTAAAAGTTGTGACGACCAAAAAAATTCTTTACATGCTCGATATACCTATTTTCTAACCATTTCGCACTCAGTCCAGACATTTTAATCTTAAATCTATCTCTCCCCTTGCAGACATCTGTTAATAGTTAGGGTCGTAAATACTTTCGATGTAGACTTGTCTTCTAGTTTCTCTAAGAATGTTTGCAGTTTACTGTATAATAACATTGTGATATGCTTTAAAAAGGATTACTATGGCGCCCTTCTAAACATCTGATATTTAATTTCTAAAAGGTAGATAGAAAATGGAGATAGTCGTTTAAATACTTATATAAAAAAATGTCAAGGGAACTTCTATGATGCAAATCTTATTTGGGCGAAATGCATAGACCAAAGAATAAGTCATCGCTAAAGCACGAACGAAAAATAAATAAATAAATAAACCGTTGCTATGCCTAATCGAATGATTACGTTGAACTCGAGAGAAAATCCCAGGCTCCAGTTCTCAAGCAATGGATGATGGACTCGATTGGATTCCCCCTCCCCCACTTCTCACTCCTGCTCCCCCCCCC